GTAACAACCATCTCTAACCACTCGTTCTGGCGTCGAGCGTGGAGTAATCCTCCCTTGTGTTAGTCAGTCATTGCCGTTTATCCCTTCGATCAGTTGCTCGGCGCCATTAGTCCTTGGTGTCACCCACCCAAGAACTCGCGGTGTCTCGAGCTGCTTAATATCCGTAACTTCAGAGACTTGCTTAAGCAATTCGCCTACCGATGCCGGTACTTGAAAATTGTGCCTCAGTTTCATTCTCCAGGAAATGGGGGGGGGGGGGCAGGAGGATTCGGGGAATCGAGTAACAAACCGTGGCCTCTGATATGGGTATCACGGCTGCTCACTCCGTTTCACGTTTTTCTTCTTCTAATGTGATGGCAGATTTGAAAGTGTCCTAACGTTTTAATTTTTTAGATTAATAACGTTTTCCATTCGCCGCACTGTTGCGCACTCAGTGTGCACTTAGGACAGCTTTCGTGTTCCATTCGACTGCTTGAGTGCACCGGGGTAAAGATGTGCGTGTTCCATTCGCACAATGACTCGGAACCAGCGCGCACTCAGGGCGCCCTAACCTGCCCGGAGGCTCGACAGTGCAGGCCATTGCGCCGGGCCCTTTTGAGGTTAGGTACGAGATTTATGAATGTTGATTTGGATTCGTGGTGAAAATGTGAAGGCAATTGAGAATCTTTTGTCACGCAGAGACACTTCGAATGATGGCAAGATTTACAAGAAATGTCTTAATATGTTTTTTGTGACTTACGCGAAGTTCGGAAAATTAGTTAGGATATTCTTAAAATTCAACATTGACTAACTTCATGTTAACAAATCCAGTGCCATTTAGTGACCGAAGTGTTGATACGTCTCAATTTCGAAACGCTAATAAAGTAGAAAATAAAATAGTGGCTAATTCCCTTACAAAATAATTCAAATACATGTGCCAAGATGTGTTTCTCGCACACTTATACACACGCCAACGGAAATGTTTTTATGATTTTCGATAACGAAACAATTCTGCAGAAGCCTTTCGGTTCAAAATCTAGTGTACTACAGTTACAGATCAAGAACGTCTGTCTATAATCTCACTGCGCAGCGTTCACGCACTGACTCAGTTCCGGAATCCGTTTCATTCGTGGCTGCCCTGCACGTGTGTGGGGCAGCACTGTTGCGAAGCGATGACTTTTTGCCTTGCACTAGGGTGGGTTTCAGTGCCACGAATAGAAAACGCTATAAGACAATCTTCCTTGAAGAACATATAGTCAATGTCGTAAGTCAACGTTATCGACATGCTCCGTAGCACGTGAGTGTTAGGCTTTCGTCTGAGCCCAGTGCTCACCTAAGACCCACAGCTTGAATGTAATTATTTAGTTAATTTTTGTGCGAAAAAGGCAATGTTCTAAGTTCCTAAGACAATGTGTCATGCATACCAAAATGACAAATTTAGTGTACACAAAAACTAGTAGTGCTAAAACAACACATACTTTCTCTCCCTTAGTAATAGTTACATAATACTATTTCGCGATCCCGATATATACGCGACCCTTCAGACTAAGGCACTGAGTCGGCACACGCTCTAACCTCGGTCATCCAGATCGGCGACAATAATTATTATAACTATTATTGCAACTGCGTTTCATACAGCTAAATCATGTCCCAACAGTGAGACGGAATTCACAAAACTACAGATGCCATCTGGCGGGTGGAATGCCATTGTCGCATTCCAATCTGATATTTTCTGAAGGCTAGCAATTGTTCTTTCATGTTACATTTAAATTGTATTTTTAAGAAGAAAATCTAATTGGGCAAATTTGAAGGTTTAAGGTTTGCGGATTGCTTAAAAGAAAATACATCAATACATTGAGAATGCAAATACATTCCTCGCAAGACGGACAAAATGTATGGATTTTGAAATAGGTTGTAAATAATTTCTAAAAGATTAATTTGTAAACGTATTTCTCGAATGTAAGAAACGAACAAAGAAATACGAAATAGTATACAAATTCTAACTTACGTAGCATCCAACTGCCTCCATATGCTTATCAAATTACGTTTTCGGAGCGCTGAAATTCGAAATAGGCGACTATATTTGACTCCAAATTACATAAAAAATTCTCATATTTCCGAAAATTGAAATTGAACTTGAACTTATTTGAAGGTCGGTTTTTGACGCACACATTTCATAAAGAAAAAATGTATCTTCACAATTGCAGTTGTTGGAAGATGTCTACAATTGTTTTTTAATTTTTTCAATTTACGAAAATTTAGTGATTTCAACGAACCTGCACCATTCTCTTAAGCGTCCTTTACGCTATCGGAGATTAAAATTTAATAAAAAAAATGTTCAGCCGTTTTGAAGAAAAAATTGTTTAAAGAAAATGAAAATTACCTACGGCACAAAAGTTTGCAAAAAATACTAATATTTTCGAAAACATAAACAAGACATTATTTGAAGATTAACACATTTTATTAAGAAAAATATTATCTTCGTAATTGTATTTGTAGGACGACGCCGAAAAAAAATTGAATTATTGCAATTTTCACAAATCAGAAACGAACATGAGACCTGCGCCATTCTCTTAAGCGTCCTATACGCTATCCAAAGGTCTAAATTTAATTAAAAAATTCGCTGCCAAGACAAAATTGTTTTAAAAAAATAAAAATTGGCCATATTTCACGCAAATTTACGCAAGAGTACTTCAATTTTCAAAAATTTGCAAATAACCTTGTTTCAAAATTTATCTTTAAGGAATATATTTCATTAAGGGAAAAATCTCTTATCTTTAGTTGTAGGGAGACTACGAAAAAAATTTGAACGGTTGTAATTTTCGAAAATTCAGCGTTTTCGATGAACATGAGACCTGCACCACCTCTCTTAAATGTCCTTCACACTATCCAACAACAAAATTTAATCAAAATCGTTCGAGACGTTTTTTTTAAAAAAAAGTCCAGTGTGTTCATGTCAAGTACCCCTCAAAATGAAAATCCCGGTTTCTAATTCAAGAGACCGCGACATCACCCAGATCGATTCAGGAATATCAATTTTGAAGAAAATCGGCTGTACGATTTAGTCGGTAGCGTTGTTCACGGACGGACGGATGGACAGACGTTTTGCAGTCAATCGATATTTTGGTATTGGGCGCCCACGAAACATGGATTCTGGCTACACCACGTGGTAGAGGTTTTTCTCTTAAATATTGCAACGGGATTTATCTACTTTTTCGTTACTAGAACTCGGCAATAAGAGATTTTCTGCCGAAAGTTGGCCGCTTTTTTCCGCAGCATTACATAACTTTCTCTCTTCTACGTAAGCTGTAGCTAGAAAGTGAAAAGGAGATTCGTTACCAGTAGACACATATTGGGAGTACTAAAACATTATATAAACGTTACTTTTTATCCAGGAGGAGATATAATTTTGTACTATTAAATGCATTTGAAAAGATAAATAAGAATAATTCTAGACGTTCACGTCAAAATAAAAAATAAAACTAGGATTGTTTCATTTTTCATAACTTGTGCTCATATACTAAAAACGTTTTATAAACATCCGTTATATTAGTCACTTCCTAAATATCTCATGTCTAATAATTCGAAACCATTTTTTTGTTGAAAAAAACTTATTAAGCAATCATTCCTCTAGAAGAATGCTTTTTTCGCGGAACCAACGGTGGTCGCTTAAAACAATAGTATGTTACTATAATGTCACTATAGTAAATTTAACTCACAATATTTCAAATTACAACAACGAATTATCTTAAAAATGTAAAATTGTGGGCCATTTTCAGAACATTGATTCGATGCTAATATCGCGAACTGAACATTTACATTGTTCAACGTGTAAAGTTTTTTGAAAGTTCGTTTTTTACACACACACACACACGCGCGCGCGCGCGCGCGCACACACACACACACACACTAGCGGAACCCGGCAAACGTTCTCCTTTTCTCCGTCTCTCTCACTATCCCTGTCTCTTTCTGTCTCCCATCTCTCCGTGTCTGTCGCTCTTTATGTCTCTGTCTCTTTCACTGTCTCTATTTCTCTCTCTCTCTCTCACCCCCCTCTCTCTCTCTCTCTCTCTCTCTCTCTCTCTCTCTCTCTCTCTCTCTCTCTGCGTCTATACATGCCTCTATCTTTTTTAGGCGTTATTTCACAATCGCTGGGGCGGACATTTAAAACATCAGGGAGCTATGAGTTGCGTAGAGCGTCGTTGCGTAGAGAGCCTGAACAGGGGTGCCTGGGTCAGCATAAAATCATCAATGCGCGTCTACGTGTGCAGTCATATGCACATTCCCATCGTGTATTCTTCCCATGCTTATATTCTTCCCACGCATGTAGGCAATAAGTTGACAAAGTTTTATCGCAATCGGATGGAGGGTACGGCAGCGCATTAAGTACGAACCAACAAACAAATATTGTTTATTTATATATTAGATATATAACACGAGTGATGTAGAGTATATTCCAGAGGTTCTTGTTTTTCTATGTTGAACAACAAATTACAGTTATGCGCTACAGAATCGATACCAAAAATTAGCTACCAAATTTGACATTTCATTGCTGGAAAACAATGGCTGCTAGTGACTTCAAAAGTTGATTGTTTACTAAATATTGTGGGGTAGTTCACAAAAAAAGTGGCAGGAAGCCCAGATGTGTGTCATAAATCCACCCGTCCCAAAGCGGGTACTTATCGGCTGAGGTGGCTCAACTGCAGTCCTCAGCTGATGTCACAGCAGTGCCTGTGATCGGAAGGTCATAGGGGTCGAGTCCTGACGGTGGCAGCATTTTCGACACAAACTACAGAGCTAGGCCGAGTTCGACCGCTCTCCGGAGGAGAATTCTAGCGGGCGGCTGCTCTGACCCGTAGTTCTTCGTGTTTTTCTTCTTATCACCAAAGGGATGCCGGGGCAGTGCCCCCAACAAACGGACCACGGACCGCGCGCTATCTTTCCTTTCTCATCCACACTCTTCGCCCCGTACACGCGCCCACTACACTACTACATGTGTTGGGTGTTTAGAACTTAAGAGATACCTGGAGAGAGAAACCTGCAAATCGACATGTAGATCGGCGTCGGATCTCATGTTCGGAGAGGAATATGTTACCCCCCAAGATAAGATAACGTGCACAACAATAGTTGATGATATATGAAGTAATTATACTCTATCCCCATTAACAAACTTAAAGACAACATTAACAACTTAGTGAATTGAAAACTTTTTTTTATTTTCTAAGTTGACTGTTTGGAGATTGAGTTTTGTTTTTATGATTCTTACATCTGTTGCCCCAACCCATTGCCCATTTTCCATATTAAAAATTATATTAAAATCATTCTCATAATATTATGGTAAAATACAATTGGAGCACATAAAGTATAATTGTGATTGCATCAGAAAATCTGTAAGAATAATCCTCTGCACTACAAACATTTTGCGAAAATACAAATCTTAAGGGACAGTTTTCAAGAAGAAAACTGGTAGTTTATTGTCAAATTTGCGAGGTAAAATTATTCTATTAATTTTTTTTTTAATTTTCTTTTATCTCAGCATATAATATTAAGCAATATCATGTGACAGATTTAATTTTTTAACTTTTTGTTTTAAATAATCCAAAGTAATATGAAATTCATTGTGATACCGGAAGAAGAAAATTAAAGGATATAATGTGTAAGAGTTTTAAAAATGATTGTTTTTAACAATGGGGGGGGGGGGGGAATTCATATTATTTATTTCTTATTTTAAATGTATTAAATTAAAATTGTGATATAGATGGTGAGGAAAGATTTATAGTGGATGAAGGGGATATTCTATTTTCTAATTCAGGAATAGTCCAGAATCTTGATTGTATTAGTAATAAGTTGTTTGTTTTTGTGAAGTCAATCAAATAATATTTGTTTCCTTATCTGATCATTTATGTCTAGTAATGTTGTCATTTAAAATTGTTTCTATGTATTTCCCTTTTCTGAGATATAATGATTTGTACATTACCATAGGAAGCTCAACTTTTTGTAAAAACATTTCTAGTCAAGTTTTGTTATTGATTAAATCATGTAGTAATGTAGTATGTTTTTCCAGGGTTAATGATCGCATCATTAGTGCAAATGGAATTTCTCTGGAGAATGTAGAATACGCTACTGCTGTACAAGTCCTGCGTGATAGTGGAAACACAGTATTACTTGTAGTGCGGCGACGTATTGTACATCCAGCATATCCTGAACCTCAAACAATAAAACTGTGCCTTACGAAGAGTAAGAAGAAAGATGGTGGGTATTTGGTAGCAGTTATAGAAGATATGGAAAATGTATTTTTATATTGATTGAATTTTCATGAGTTGTTTGTCTTTCAGATTTGCCTATGGTTTATACAGAGTTGGTTTGCAATTCAATTATTGAATGATATTATATTATACATTAATATCACAACTTTTGTGCACGTCTGTACTGCACCACATTTTTTTGTAAGATGTTATTTCAAAATACAGTTTTAAAGAAAGGTTAAAGAAATTTTAAAAAATTAAAAATAATTATGTTAACAATTAGCTATAAAAATTATAATATATTGATAAAGTTACATGTAATTTCACATTCGAATGACATATTTAAAAAATCACATTTGATAATTTTTAAGGCAGTAGTTCTAATAGTGTATGTATATTTCAACTTTGTGTGATCACACCTCAGGAAAAACTACACACATACTTTTAAAGACAAATTTGTTTTGAAAGTTCCTACATACTCAAACCAAACTTGATATTTTTATCATTTGTCAAGATTCATTTATTTGAGTTCTTTACTCTCTATTATAGATTTTGGTTTGGTGTTGGGCTGCAAAATCTACGTTAGAGAACTTTCTGGCAAAAGTATTGTTGATAATCGTGAAGGTGGAAGTCTTCAGGAAGGAGATGTTCTTCTGAAGATTAACAACCACACTACTGATGGAATGACCCTTAAAGAAGCTCGAAAACTCATAGAGTCGAGTAAAGAGAAGTTAAATCTTGTTATTAGGCGTGAGCAAAAGCCAGGAAATGTGAACTGTGAATCAACATCCCATCCCAAAGGTATGTTTTGTATTTTTAATCATTTCAAATGTTAAAATACATTTATTACTCCAAAGAAAAGTGGATTGGAGTGATCTTGCCCAAAAATAATTATAACAATTATTTACAATGCCCTGTTAATGGATGTTATTATTTCATAGTAAAAGTAGGTTTCTGGCCTCCAGCAGCCATGCATGCAGTTGATTTTTTTTAATGCTAAGTTTCAGATATTAACAGTTTTAATGTGTACATTGCATTATTAATTTTCAGAGTCACCAGGAACATATCTGGAGAGCTTGAGTGGACCGAATTATTCATCCCAAAACTTGTATGTTCAGCCACCCACCAGGCATCCTCCGCAACCAAACCTTGCTGAGGATAAAAGCAACTTGCTTCCTAGAGGACGGTCTCGTGGACCGCTCCTGGATGTATCATTGAGCCAGTTGGATAGGCTTGCTACACCTGTGGGTTCTGGTTCTGGCCATTATCATGCTCACCATCGCAGCCGCAGTGGGGTAGAAGATGGAGCGAGTCCTCCTGACCCCCTAGGACCTCCTCGACCTCCACCACCTAGGCCAGAAGGTATATTTCTAGTAAAGTAGCCTTATGGAAGTACTCATCTCTGAGAGTGATTTAAAAGTAAAGAATGCCAATTCATGTTAAATTTTCAGTCAAAGTGAAAGTTGTACATGAAATTATATAATTAGGTATTAACAAAAAACTGGTTATTTATGGTATTTTCTTTTATTGAATTGGCTCATTTGCTGACAGACTTTCATTTTAGACAATAACAGAGAATTTTAAAATATTATCATGTTTATTGTATTTGTCATGTGTATTGTAGTGTATTTGGTACCTACTTTAACTAAATTAGGAAGTTTTAAAGAATCAATTAATGCTCTTCAGCTTCTCTTCGCTACAGAAAAAAGTATAACTTGGTATAGGCACTTGATTAGCAAATATGCAACAGATGACAAAGTTATTTTCATTCAAATTCTATTGAAATGAAATAATAGACAATAAAATTTGCCTTCTGCCTATAACCAAATTTTGTACAGATGTCATTTAGTAGTCGTTGTCTTTGGGGTGGGTGGTTGCACGCCATGAATTGGTGTGCCATTGTATGAGATGTACGTTAGAGCTGTGTGAAAACAGATGTGCACAAGTTTTAACCTAGTGACAATCATTTATATTGATTGTGTTATTACATCAAAAACAAAAATAGCTTGTAGCAGTTTTCCTTATCATAAAAATCTAATCAACTTTAAGGAAATATAACTATCAAAATTGAATTACTCTGAAGGACAATAAGCAAGTACGTTTAGCCAGCAACTAATTTCATAGCATGTGGATTTATTGTTCATATCCAAAGTGATGGAAGTAATAAACTTTTTTATATTTGCCCTTGAGATAAGTTTGTTCTAAAATGGAGACTCTTGTAATTACATAATTTATCATAGACTTCAGAGCTGATGTTCCTTATGAAAGGAAGTATAATTTTAGTGAAACTAAATTACAGTGGGAATATAAACTATGTGTTTGCCTTGAATTTAAGCTTTCATAAAGACGCAAATGCATTTTGTAACTGTAATAAACATTCTTTGAAAATTAATTAGTTATTGAGTAGAATAGATTGCTCTGTACTTTGATAAAATTAATTCTTAATTTCATTTTATAAAAGTATGGCTTCAGACAACTGTCTCTTTGATTGCAGATTACTACAGTAGTAGAAGACAATTATATGAAGATGATCCTCTTCTGCAACGTTCAAAACAACCAATGTAAGTAACAGTACACTGTCATTGAAATACTCTCTGAATTGACAATAACTTTTACAAGTACATTGGTTGTGCAACATTCTGTTTTTGAGCTAAGATACATTTAAAATTTGTTACGACAGACTTATTATCCTTATGAAGAAAAATTTGTACTCAACTGCTGCAACAAACATTCATAAGAATTTTGTTGATTGAACTATTAAAACACTGAGAATCCTCTTAAGTAAAAACTGAATATCCTCTTGATTAATTTCTAACCTCTCCATTGTGTTTTAAGCTCCATTTGAAACTCTTGTACCTTAAGAAGATATCAGATCTTCATGGAAAATTTCTGTTTTGCTTAGATTTATTGGTGAACAATTTTATAGATTTCTTCAGAGTTGAATTTTCTTCTTTTTTTCCCCCCCAGGCCTGACCCACGTTTCATCACTTTTCAAAAGGAAGGATCAGTTGGTATCAGATTAACCGGAGGAAATGAAGTTGGAATTTTTGTAACAGCAGTGCAACCTGGTAGCCCTGCATCTCTGCAAGGTTTGCAACCTGGTGACAAAATTCTCAAGGTTAGTTAATGATTGATGTGCAATTATTGCTGAATTATTAGTCTATCTTCACTGGTTTTGACTGTGGGTCATTGTCACTTTGCATCAGGTCAAAAATTGTTGTTTTTTTCTGAGTGTTCTGTAGTTAATATCTTTTGGAAGTTCAAAAAAATGCTTGTAAATCATGATTTTCTTGCTATGATGAGTTTTTTTTAAAGCTACACACTTCAGCAGATTTTTACAGTACCTGCAGCATATAAGTGACTCTGACAGCTCAAATGCACTGTTTCTACACATTATTAATCACATGGCATCACCTCCATTACAGATAAATTAAATCTCAAAACATTAACACATTCTGACAGGCTATGACACATATTGATATCATGTTCATAACTTTTGCCAAAGCCGAACATTATCACTTCCGCAACATTGAGTGAGTCAGATGAGTGGCACGTGTCAAGAGAAGTGTCAGAGTTGCTTATAGGCTGCTGGTACTGTAGTGACATCACTTGGGAGTACTGGATGACTTGTAATTATTTATTTATTATCCCCATTATTTATTTATTATAACATACGCTCAATTTGTACATTTTAACAAAAATGATATTCATAAGTAACTCATTCATTCCTATAAAAACATACTAAAGTAGAATACAATTTAGTGTGTAATAATTAAAACATCAAAAATATAATAAAAGGAAAAAGAAAACTATACAAATTTGGCACTATCAATCGAATCTATACAAGAAGCCACTATAATATTTTTAAAATTCCACATCTATACTTTCAGTTAATTCCAATTCAATACTGTTAACAGATCTACACATTCTGTTAATTGGTGTGTTTGCATAATATAAGTTCTGTACCAATGATACAAAAATAAGTCAGCTGATCTTGAACAAAATGATGGAACCTTAAAGTCCAACTGTTATAACAAAAAACGGGCAATTGATGTTGTCATGGAGAAAAACAAAATCTACAACATCCCTGCATAATCTGAGAGATACAATACCCAAACACATTGATATTTCTCCAGATTGGTTGATGAAGGTGTCTGTAAGTGCTTAGTGCATGCTGCAATTCTGGAAAATTTGTGTTGTACAGTTTCTAATCAATTTATATGAATAGTAAAAAATTGTGACCATATAAGTACATCATTACCACCTTCGTAGTTGTCAGATACAATTTTACTTAATATTAGAGACACGGGATGTGACAAGTGAAATTATAAACCCAAGTACAATTGCCCCTTATTCATATATGTGCCTAAGTAGAGAGATTTTTAGATTTAGATTTTAGATTTATTTAGCCAAAAAAACAGTAAAAAACTGTTTGTGACTTTAGTGTGAGGGAGAAGATCACTCCTTATTTGAATATTGTTTAGAAGTCATTGTTGAATCAGTTGCTTTGAATCAGTCAGTAATAGCAATATTTAGAGCAGAGGTTCTGACAATGGACTATGTAGGTGCCTTGGTAGGGAAAGATCAATTGTTATTTTGAAAGTGATGTTGATTGTTGGAGGTTTAATAAAGATAATTTAATATATATTTTAATCAGTTTTAATTAATTTCCCTCTGTGGATGTTTTATATCATTTTTTGATTAGTTACTGAGAAATTATGGTTGTGAGTGTATACATGCATGAATGTGTGTATGCGCGCATGTGTGTCTGTCTTGTTGATCTGTGTCTATGTGACAAAATAAAAATGAGAAGCAGTAGTAGACTTGATAATAAACAATTTTTAATTGTTAATAACAAACAATATTTGTTTTGCCAGGTGAATGACATGGATATGAAAGGGGTAACACGTGAGGAAGCAGTGCTATTTCTGCTGAGTTTGCAGGACCAGATAGACCTGATTGTGCAGTATCGCAAAGAGGAATATGAACAAATAGTTGCAAGCCAGCGAGGGGACTCATTTCATATAAAGTAAATGATAATCTGAGTTCTATTTAATATTTTATAAATTAGCATTTAATTTGTTATGATTCCATTTGCACAATTGAACTTTTTTTCAATCATATGAAAATATAAATAGTTTTTTAGTTTGTTTATTTTTATTTTGTGTTGTTTTACAGAGCTCATTTCAATTATGATCAACCTAATAAGGGGGAAATGAGTTTCCGTAAAGGAGATGTATTCCATGTTGTGGATACATTACATAATGGTGTAGTTGGTTCCTGGCAGGTATTTAGGATAGGTGAGAAGAAATAAAAATTATTTTTGTTACTTTCTATACTTGAATTATGAAATATGAAAAGTAATAAATTTTATGTTGTCAGGTCGAAATAATCAAGAAGTCCAAAAGGGAATTATTCCCAACAAGTCACGTGCAGAAGAATTGGCAACTGCTCAATTTAATGCTACTAAGAAAGAATTAACTGCATCTGAAAGTCGAGGCAGCTTCTTTCGGCGTAGGAGAGGAAGTCATCGCCGGTCAAAGTCTCTCGGCAGAGTATGTGGACAGGTTCTCAAACTTCTTTTGCTTCCATTTTCCGCTATTATGTAGTTTAATATTAGTTTTATTATATTTTTCACAATAGTGAATAATATAATAATAGTAGTAATAATTATTTAGTATTGCATTCTGTATTTAGTTCTTTGGTTGTAGGATGGTTTCACTTTTTATTCTTTTGAAATATTTGATGTTCTCAACTATCAGAACTATGAGAACAACAGATGTTCTCATATATCTGTATTCTTCTTTTAAATCTTCTTGATTTCATGTCTTGTTATTTTATTTTATTAGCAGTTCTTTGATTCTGTGCTTGGTAAGAAAAAGTAGAGAAAATTTGCAAGGTGTTGAGGTAATTGGCAATTGAAAGTGAAGTATATTTTATATGAAAGCATAGGCTTCTTTTGCCAGAATCAATATATTCTAGACCCAGATGCCAACATTGACCTAGGGCATTTCACCCTGAGAAGATTGCAGTATGATGGCCAAAAGGTTGGCATTTTTGCCTAGAATGTGACACTCCCTTGACAGACAAGTGTATATTTTATGTGAAATCACAATTGCTAACTTGTCATTTTCATATAGACATGCATTAAAATGTCTGCTTTTACCTCTTTGATTGAGTACACATTCACATAAATGGACAGGAAAGGCACTATAAGAACCATTTCATTGAATGTACTTTGGTAAAGACAAATTAGCCTCAACAGTGTAAAATTGTAGTTAAATGTTCTTGAAGTTAAACTACGTGCAGTGTGTCACAATGTACCTCAATGGATAGTATGATTCTTCAATTGCTGTACCCAATGTTCCACTCGAATATCAGCATTAAAGAAAAAAAGAAATGGCAAATAAGATCATAATTTTTTGAAATATTTTACATCTGAAAATTTAAATTACAGATGTAGAAAAGAAATTCAAAACGTGGGTTTTTCCTGGATTATTTATTAACCATTGGTTTACTTTCTTGTAAATGTTTATGTTCTTATAAACACAATTTTATGCACTGTAATTTGATTTCATTATTCCTGAAAGTAATTGAATGCTTCTTAATTGGACATAGATATTTTAGTTGTTGCATCTACTTTATTCTTTCTCTCTTGCTTCTAATACAATTAAATTGCTTATCTACATCTTTATATTTTGATTAAGATTCTGATGTATTTTTAAAATGTTAGAATTTAATACATGATTTGCAGTATGTGTAATAAACATTGAATTAAGAAAAATATCATTAGCTGGTAGTAATATAAAGGAAAATTGGATTCCTTGAAATGCATAAAAAAATCATAAGCAGTACATTTAAACTGTGATTAATATGCATATTATTTTTAAGTTTTAAAAAATTAAATATAATTTTTATTTTGTTAGTACTCACCATGCACTTTGGAGTGTACTCATTTTCAGATTTTTTTTTCAGGATCACTGGGATGATGTGGTATTTGCAGATAGCATTAGTAAATTTCCAGCATATGAAAGAGTTGTCTTAAGACATCCAGGTTTTGTGAGACCAGTTGTGCTGTTTGGTCCCGTTGCGGACATTGCTCGGGAAAAAATGTTAAAAGATTTTCCTGACAAATTTACGTCTCCTCGTAAGTATTATTTGTTAATACTTTTGTGGAGTTACAATTTTGATTTCTGAATTTAACTTGCATGCATTGCTCTAACACACACATATACTAGCTGAACCCATGCAAATACATTGCACAGAAGGAAGTGCTGTGGAAAAGGCACTACAGATAATACTGCATATCCATAAATATAATTCTTTTAATAAATAAGCTTTCTTTAAAAAAAATGACATTTTGCATTATTTATCCAGTTATGCCGATATTAATTATCCAGATGGGGTTCGATCTCAATTAATCCAGATAATTGGGAATTGGGGTTCTACTGTATTGCAATATTGTAAATTGTTTTGTATAAACTGTTCCCCAATCTTATTAAATATTCTCTTTAGCAAGAAAAGTGTAGATTCAATTTTTGAAAATTTGTAGCTTTTGAAAGTTCACAGATTTTAATGAAAATCAAACTTATACCATATTTATAAGTGCACTTTGGTCTACTCAAGAGGAAAAAAATGTTTAGAAATAAAAATGTTGCTATCAAACGTTGGAAAGGATAAGCAGAGTATAGATAGTACAGAGACATTTTGCATAAAGCCACTTTTTTGAGATCATGGAGCCACAGAATGTGGTTTCTGATAACACTATATATTCGACAACTAATTTACTACAATTACTTCATACCACTAATAATTTACTACAACTAATTTATTGAATTTAGGTGTAGAAAAAACCAACTTTTGCAGTATTATGGACACACTAAATAATAATTACACTCGTTCTTGTAGCATTACTACACTTTCTTTATATGACATGCAAGGGTACGAGAAAGTAAAATTTTGACAGGAAAGCTCTAAATGAGCTTATTGATAATTTGATTTCATCATTTTTTAAGTAACAATAGCACAAAAAATATGTGTTTGGTAACAAATCCTGACTGTAGTAAGAACTCATAAAATTGGCTACCAGAAAATAAATTAATTTAAAAATAGCCACAATTAGCCTGTATAATTGTTGTTAATTGGCCTTGTTATTGGCATCTGCATAGTTGACTCTCTACTGAGTTGAGTATTTCCATAATTTTTTTTTATATTTTAAATATATCTTGATGAAAACAATTTTTTTGAAAACAGGAACTTGTGGGATTACCATTCATTAATAGGGCAATGTATAATTAACATAAATAGAACTGTAATTAATGATTATGTAAGAAACCTTTTTATTCAAACTAATTTTCAAAGTTTTCTTTCCTTAAAATGCTAATTTGACCTTTTCTTAAACTTGTATTTATTCAATAATCTGTAAACTGCATTATTTTTTTTACAGAACTAGATAATAACTTAGAAGACATTCCAAAGAGTCAAAAATCTTCTGGAATAATCCGTCTCAGTGCCATTCGAGAAATTATGGACAGAGGGAAGCATGCACTTCTTGACATTACACCAAATGCTGTTGATAGGCTCAATTATGCTCAGTTTTATCCCATTGTGATTTTCTTGAGAGCTGAATCAAAACATATTATTAAAGAACTGCGTGCTGGTTTGTCCAAGTAAGTACAGCGTAACATAGTTTCTCTGTTAGCACATATTTATATTTCAGCACTTGTTTTTCATCTACACAGAATGCACATAAAATGTCCTCATAGGTGATAAGTTTTAATTAGGACTTAAGGGGACTTATTTACTATTTTATGCTTATATTCTTATCATTCAAAACAGTCTTTTTAATACAATGTAGGATATTAATTAGTTAATTAATTTGAAAAGAACACTGTGAAAAAAAATTGAAACAATGTGTTTTCTGTCAGAATTATCTAGAACTTTTTTTTTCCAACCTATGGAATTTTTGATTTTACATATTATGTATTTCTTTCATTTCCAGCTTAACTTTTGAAAAGAATTGTCTGTAGCAGAATGCAATAAGAATGCTTGAATTATTAAGAATGCTAGGGAGTTGATCTATGAATTTTACAGGCACAAACAGATGCCTTTAAAGAATTTAATTTATTTTTAAGTAATTTATTTCTTTTCCATTCTTTTCAGTGAGCCTTGTTGAGGTTTGTGTTTGTGGTTATTCCTATCATCACATTCTTGCAATTGCAAAGTTTAATGAAATCTTTGTTGTGCTATTATTACTACGAGGTTATGATGACCCGCAGACTGGTTTTTGCCTCTTTGTACCCATACTGTATCTGGTTTCCAACATTTCACTCCCAGGATTTCACTTGTTTGCAGCCACTTTAGGGCTGCTAAGGAGTTTTGGCACTCCCAATGACACAACTCTAACATTTACATGCACAATTTACTGTGAGGATTGGGCCATTGCCCATTGCCGTTTGAGCTTGAAATTGAAATATTGGTGTTGCACTTCAATGTTAAGTCCCTCTCTATATGATTTTTTCATTTTTTTCTGAACTCTGAAGTCATGCAAGTTTGACAGAGTGCACTCAACTGTGAAGAAAAAAATTGGTAGATCTCCATCATGTTCATTGTTATATAATTTCAGATTGTTAGACAGTTTATAAGGTTATTATACCATATGACTATGGGACCATGTCTGGTGGTGCATTAATAGGATTTCAATGAACTGAGGGGAATTCCTGTACCAAAGAATTAGGAACACAAAGGGTTAATTTCTGGATTTCAGTTTTTGCACATGTGCGCCTCATGTAGCAATCTCCCTTAAATACAGTGTACTGGAGCCATCCAATATGCTAGGAACTAGCTTGGTACATATATTCTCAATATTTACGTGAAAACATGATTAGGAGTTTTCTATCTGCGAATGAAACATCCAGTGTTTCTCATCATTAGCAACATAAACTGCTGGTGCATTAGACATGTTGCCTATTCCTGTTTAATAAGTAGATTTTGTTCCTCCAGGTGTTCCTGAGTTATCCACTTTTTTGGCCTTCCTATGATCATTGCACTATAGACTTAGTTGAAGGCAGCTTTCAGTAATCTTTCCTCTTTCATTGTGTGGATGTGAGCAAATCATCGCTTTTGCTTCTCTTTAATGTCCTAATATTTAAGCTAAATTAAATACTTTAATATTTATATTAATATAATAATAATTAATATATTTTAATATAACACCTAATATTTAACTGCCGTTAAATATTTTTATATTAGTGCTACAATATTAACAAAACATGTTAAGGCCTTCATGTAAATATATGAACTCCTGCAGAGCACATTCATAAAATTATTCTCTCTGTATTAATTGCCACATACTTGTATATTTATATGACATATATTTAACACTTATTTTCTATTACATATTAATCATTTATCTAATCTTTGTAAAGATAGTGAGCGGAACACTTTGGACTGTAGAATCAGCATTCTCATACAAATTGGGAGGTCTGCAGTTCAAGTACAGCAAACTTGTTTTTATCATTCCCAATTTATTTATAACTAAAATATGTAGAAAATATGAGAAATCTTTGCATAAAATGATAGTTGTATTTACTTGTTGCATATGAGATCTGTACTAATACATTTTTTGGCGCCTCGAGAGATAACCAATTTAATTTGTATTTGACTCTCTGTCATCTCATCATTACTTAGGCTTTCCTATTTGTTGTGAAGATTTGGCTCATGAATCAATGTTGAATTGATGAATTCATTGATCATTCATCCTATTTAACTCCAGTTCATTCAAATAGTCTTGTTGGTGCTTGAAATATTTCATGCATAAATGCGATCTTGTTTATTACTTTCGAGATTGCAGAAACATTTAGAGCATTGCAATAAGCTTAAGGATAATTGCTGTCACCTTCCACTGGGTTACTCTATATGATGATTCAGATGTGTTATGAACTTTTATTTTACATGTGCGGATATCTAAAGATGTTCTTGTGCTACTAATTGGCAAATTCTTATATTCTGTAATGATTTGTATTTATGTTTGTGCAATATTAGTCCTAATGACCAAAGAACCTTAGATTTTTCAATGAAGACTTATGTTATGAAACACAAAATACTCAAACTTAACACTTCATTTTCAAACATGGTTCTTGAGACAATGTTCTTCTAGTTGAAAATAAAAATATAATACTCTTAATTACTTGTAGTTCACCTATTTTCTAAGAGTTTCTAATAACAATAGTGATGTGCATTCATTGCTATTGCACTAACATATTTTGTTCAAGTAATGAAGAAAGAATGAGATGTGTGCTGAATGATTGATTCAGTAGATTGACTTCAAATATTTATGATTTTACAGAGCAGCTCATAAAAGTAGCAAGAAATTGTTTGAACAGTGTCAAAAACTAGAAAAGGTGTGGGGCCACACATTCAGTTGTAGCATAACTCTTACAAGCCCTGAGCTTTGGTACCGAAAGGTTAGAGAATTAATTGACAAACAGCAAACAGCTCCAGTATGGATGAGTGAAAGTAAGGTAAATATCTTCCATCTCTACTCATCATCCTGTTCTGTAAAATTTTGAGATGTTGAATGCATTATTTTATGAAAAGAACCACTTAAGTACCTTTAAAGAGCAAGCCTTTAAAAAAGTTCTAATAGACCATTTATTTTACAGCCTGATGAAGCCCTGTCAGATGATTTTCTTTTCCCAATGACATCTCGACTTTCTTACGCTTCATCCCCTGAGTCTGACCTGGACTTGTCACCAGAACCTCGTTGTACTGGAGGTACAACTGCCCCAACAACTTCATCTCGTCTGGTGAAAAGCTCATCTGATCCAAGCATTGCAACGCAAGAGGATGCTGCACCTGGTTACTCCGCTCCACCTCCTTACACACCTAGTGGCACTTACAATAAGCAGGTAAGTCCACAACATAAATGCAGTGATAAAACAAATAATTTCTAATTTTTAAATGAACTTTGAAATGTGTATCTGTGTAGCATTGTATGTTCTTTCTCCCTATCCTCCTCTTACTTGCACTCACACACAAAATCTCGTTTTTCAACAGCTTCTTTTTTGAAAGTTTCTTTTAATGACATTGATTTTGCATGGTAGACAATTTCTGCAGTCTTTTTGTACAGAAATTGACCTGTCTAAAAACAACTCAAAAATTTTCTCATCTTAAATATGTGTAATTGGCATTCTGTCATGTAAATAGTATTACTGTCTTTTCTCTCAGAACTATGAATGTCACAATGGTGCCCCACCTCCTGATCATCACCATGGGCACAACCTCGCCATGTCCCAAGGGAAGCGCCGTTCTCAATGTGGTGACAGCAAGTATGGGTTTTCCCCTCCTCATTTACTCAACTCCGATGAGCCTCCTATCAGTTCTTCCACCATGCATCTTAACTACCCTCCCCACCACCATCACTACCACCACCACCAAAACTCGAGTCCCGCTGGGTACCCTGCTTCCAAAATGCTCAATGGAGGCGCAGGGGCTTTGCCTCGGTCTCCCCTCATGCACTCGCCTCCCCTGCAGAAGCCACCTGAGCTGCCACCACGCATTGACCGCACCAACAAACCGTCCCACAGCGCCCTCAGCCGGCTAGCTGCTGACAGGCTCTTTGTAAAGGGGGAGGGCATGCTGGGGGATGCAGACATGGCGTCTGGTGGAAGGGAAGCCAGCGACCCCCCGAATTACATAAATGCTACCCCTCATCATCGGAGAGGGGGCAGTTCCTCCTTGGAAAGACACAACGTCAAAACTGTAAGTTGATTGAATCAACATTTATGATAGCAATGCTTTGATTGTATTAATGTAATTTATCTGTTTCTTACTCCATTCTTTATTTGCAGAGTAGTTATGACAGTGTGTCATCGTATGAGTCTTATAATAATCGCCTTGGGCCAAATGCCCATGATGATTTAAAATGTGGAAGCAATGGTGTTCCACTCTCTCCTCGCAACCATGACCCCTACAGATTTACTAGGTCTACTGCTCAACCCATCAGCAATATGGAGCCAAAACCCAACAAACACCCTGATTATGGTAAATACAGGTGAGAATGTGTACTGCTTTTATTTATGATTATTTATTAAAAAAGATGCTTTATAATTTTGTACTTTACATTAAAGAAAAATAAACACAAAGAATTATCTAGATTATTCATCCATAGTAACATTAATTGTAGATTTTAACACTCACCCCACATTCTTATTGTAATGTTTTCTTTCTTCTTGGTACAGTACCTAAAAGTTTTGTTTGATTTAAGAGGTAATGTATTATTTACTTTCACTTCAAAATAAAAGGACAGTGAATATAAATACAGTTTTCCTAACTAGATCACATGATTGAAAGAAATTGTAGAATAAAAAGTATCCATATTTCATCGTATTAATGTCCTGGATATATTGGGAAAATTTCAGACAATAAATATTTTGGACTCTTTGTTGAAGATTTCTATTGATTTTGATGAGATGACATATTGAGAGAGTTAATTTTAAAATCTTCTTTTTCATTTCTTATATTCTAATTTGTATTTTGGTATAGCATTCTTATGATCACAACTTCAATTTTTTTAGGTCTGGTGACTATAAGCCTCTACCACCACCCAAAACTGGCAGTTACAAACCAGTACCACCACCAAAGCCAAAAAATTATCGTCCACCTCCTCCAGAGAATCAAAACCAATGGAGTCGTGGCAGTGGAGATGGTAACTATGATATACAACATTCTCCTCAACGAACTCTAGACAGTGGCATGTCCTCCTCTCCTATTGGAACATTGCGAAATGAAGAAGGATCTGTTCCTCCTAATGCATCTGGAACACAAGGCTTGAAAACAAACAGCAATAATGTGTACCAACATTCCAAACCATATTCAGTATCAGGAGGTCTAGATGGGGGTGGATTTTCATCTCCACATCAAAATGGAGGTAATATTTTTTTATTATGATACTCATTTATCAAAGTGAAATAAAATTTTGATTGTGTATTGTAAAAAGACATTTCCACAAATAATCGAGAACTGGGTAATCTGTTTTAAGAGTCTTGAAACACTGTTTTAACACATTGATGGGAGTTAGTATTTTTCTCTCGAATATATTTTTACCAATACACTGAAGAGAAAGCATCGGTGCATGAAACTATTTCCTTTCTAAAATCTTCTAGTATTTTTAAAGGTTAAAATTACTTTTGCATGCAACTCAAAATATATTTGACATGATAAATGAATCGGCGGATAAATCAATTGAGAAATTTGAAAGTCAAGTAGAATGTAATTCAAATCTTGCTTGTTTTTAGAAAATCTCAGTACAGGTTGACCACTCTCTGGAAAACTGGGAAAAATTAGGGAATTTCATTGCTCTGGAAATGTCAGGGGAAAAATCAGGGAATTTGCAGAAGAATTGGTAAAAGTCAGAGAAAATTTTGACAAGGTTTTAAAACTAGATACAAAATTTTGACAAAGTTTTAAAATTAGATAACATTCCTTAAAAACATTAGAACTGCGTTATTTTTTCTTAATTTTTATTTGGTGAGAAAATATTGTTAATTTTTTCATGGCAAAATCCAAATCCGAGGCCTGGCCAACTAGTATCATGGTAGCTTTAATATTTTCTTTACAAATCCTATCAGAAAAAAATTTAAAATGCACTGGAAAACTGGGAAAAGACAGTGAAATTTATTCTAGGAAATGAGTGGCCACCCTGTCAGTATTTTATAAGAGTTTATGCTTACTACTACAAATTATAATAAAATTTGTTCAGGGTAAGCATTCGAAGATGAAGATTACAAATGAAAAATAGTCTCATGATCAAATTTCAAAAAATAATTTCAAGGCATATATATTTTTCAAAATGTCAGTAATTTGAATAGTACTTGTTTATTTTTTGTGAATGAAATTAACGCAGAACCACAGGATGTTGTCCTATCAGAATTCCCAGACATTTTCTTGGGGACTTACAATTAAAAATCTTTGCCTGTTCGAAAGCACTAAAAAATCTTGGATGTATACTGATCAAAGCGAATAGAGGGGCATGAAAGGTTAGAAAAGTGTCACTCAGAAAAGAGCTACATTTCCTCAAAATAATAATAATAAATGCTTGTCCAAGTGAGAGCACATCTCCGCCTGCTGTCCTCCCCGTATGGGTATGAAATGATGAGTATTCTCGTCTGCAGATCACAATTTGTTAACATATGACACACAAGTCTAGTGGACCTCTGGGAAACTGAGCAAGAAATAAGATCAGAATTGGTGAAATGTGTTTCATTCACAGTTTTATTTTCTTGTTTCAGGCCTATTTATGCATATTTGCAAACTTTATCCTTTTAATTATTTACAAGCATAAATTATCATTGAAAATTATAAATCTACTAGTGTGAAATACCAAAGAAATTAATTATATTTTAGATTGTGTTAGTTTGAAATTGGTTTGGGCCCTAATACTTTAAAAATTGACAAGTTGACATGCAACAGAAACTACTTTATTGTTTTTAAAGTCAGAATACGCCTTTTAAATTTGTGTAATGTGTTAGTTTTAACCATATCAGGTAAAATATTGAAAAGTATTGGATAATCTAATGAAGCTTTTTCGGGTGTGCTCTCAATATTTAAGTCAGATAATAGTAATAATTGTTATGTTTGTTCTACATAAAATGAAAATATGCTAATTTTCTAAAAATTATCAATGATGAGAAATAAGGGTGATTAGTTCAAAAGATATAAAATGGGATGAAAGGTGAAGATGAACAAAAAAGAATAAACAGTGTCATGACGATTGTATCATCCGTAAGATTAATGATCTCTTATAAGGTGTTAATTATCACAATGTAATGTTTGGCTCCATAGTTCAGTTTGTTTGAGCATCAGTCTGCATTACAGAAAGCCCCAGGTTTGGATCCCAGAGGGATTAAATATTCACACATCGTGACATACAGTTTATTTGATAGGAATCACTTTTCATGTATAGTTTTTCTGTAATAAAAAATTCTGTAAAGTTTCCTTGGAATATAATTCCAAATTAAGTGAAAATTAATGTGTGCGAAGATGCACTACATAAAACATATATACCAAATGTACAAATATCAATGAGAGTTTTGTATGTTTCATGAATTTCTTAGTATTTTAAATTCATTGCACAATGTACTTATTATTGGATTCAGTTTAGTGAAGTGAATGTTCAGTGTTGTCTTCTTGGCTTTCCAGATTTATTTTAGTTGTTATTTCACTAAAATTTGGTAGCAGATGACTTACTAAATTTCTGTTAGATATTGTTTTTTAATTGGTCTTAATTTATTGGTGCTGAATTATTTTGAAATCATTACCAAATAAACTGTTAGGAAATTGTTAACAACAAATTAAATTATTATTATTACTTCCCTCTAGATTTAATATTGAATTTTAAGAGTAAATTTCTTATATTATCCAATTGTGGAGTTGGGGGTCTAAATTTGTTTCTACTTTTATTTTATCACTGACAGTTTGATTCTCTAGTTCTACTTATAAGCAAATTTCTGAAGTTTAGGAGGTAAAGGTCTTCTTCCTTTCATTCCATGCATTTATAACTTACATTTTGTTGCCATTCAGGACTGTTCATAGTGTCTTAAATTTTCTGTTTTGTCTTCTCTTTCTTTGTTTATTCAAACATTGGGCTGGAATATTGCATCCATATTATATGGAAGTTGCCATATGATTCAAAACTGCACAAACTAATTGTTTCTTTCTCTTCGTCTTCTTTTGTTGTCTTCTTCTTTATCATTCTTCATTTTTATTCTTCTCCTTTATTCTTCTTTTTTCCTAGACACTAGCTACTTCACTAGGTCGAATTTGGTCACTGGCTGGAGGAAAATTCAAGCTGCCCTGATTGGCTAGTTTTCCATGGTCACCACCAGGAGAATGCCAGAGCAGTACCATAACAAAGGGGCTATGGGCCATGTGTGATCTTTCTTTCCTCCTCCTTGTCCTATTCTCACCCCTTATTTAGGCACACTTACATTTACATGCACTTTACTACCACACATGTTGGGAGACCAGTTGGGAACATAGAGCTTGTTGTGGCTGGGCGGTGGTGCTTGCTGGTGGGAGATAACTGGAGGTGGGAAAACCTTGCAAGCTGACATGTCTATCAGAGCCAGGTGTGACCATCCTGTGGGAGAGGCACACTGCTACCTCTCATCATAAAACATGCACTGCACCTATGGGACTAATCATTGGAAGCCTGGGAAAATATAATCAATACTCAATGAAGCATTTTCCCTCTCCTTCTCCTTCTTCTTCCCCTCAGCATAAAGAGCATTAAAAGTTGAAATGTTTTACATTAAAGTGGTGAATAGTAGTTACTGAAAAAATTTAATCACATTGTAGCAACAAAAGTGCAAATATATTTAATACATATTTCTTTGAACAAAAAAAAGACAAAAACAAAGACATAAGACAAAGACAAAAAAACAAAGACATAAGACATTTAACACCATGAAATGGCGTCATTATTAATTCTGCTAAGCATTTAGAAGAAACACATTTAAGAACTCTTCATTTTAATTTGACAATGAATTTTCAGAAGTAACCTTATAAAATATTTGAATGATGCGTATTTTGAGAAGTATCAAATATTGAGTGAAATACTTTATTATGAACTCATTCATCAAGTGCCTATTATTTTCAAGTATCCTATTATTGAAGATGCTGGAGAAATGATGTTATTCAGTCGTGGGAAATAGGAATTCAAGCTACACTGAAGATTATTGTCATCCTAAAAACAGCTCCAGGTATTAACCTGTTCACAATCCACAACATAGAGATGAAAGGCTGCGGGATTTTTTTTAAAAATTTGGTTGTGTTGTTGTTTTTTTTTGTTGCTTTTTATCTTACTAGCTTGTAATAGAATTATAGTACACCAGTAATGGAATTCTCAATACTTTATAATTTAAGCCATAGAATATATAAGGTTTTAGTAGGAACTTTTGTATATTTGAATAGGTAATGCTTTTTCCATTTAAAGTTTGCTTATTTTGTTGTATAATTGTGTAATAATTGTTGTATTTTGCGCAAAGTAAGGATTCCAAAGGAATAAAAAGTACTGAGAAACATTGTTATACCTATCATCTTACTCTATTGTTATGCAGGATGTACACATGACAAGTAAAGTAGAAACGCAGGAAGAGAATGACATAGGAGAAAAGAAAAAGAAAAGGAATTATTTAGGTATTTAAATGTATGTCTCCTGATAATTCTCAAAATCTCAAGATGCACTGACATTCACTTTTAATTTCTCATTGCACTTCTTAAAGCACATGCTCTGTATTGCAAAACTTTATAATTTTGCTTTGTAAAATTGTATTTTTAGGGTGTCTTAATTTGTTGTTTTTCCATGTCATGTAATTCTTATTGATAATGGTATCAGATGCGATGTCTATCATTGGCTTAACAACAATATGTCTCATGGAAATTTTCACATTTAATTTTGTAGTAAAGCACCAATATACTTGTATGACTAGTACATACATATTTTATTTCATATTTTCGATATTGTATTGAAAAAAAAAAACAACTAGTTTTAAATAAATCTCAATTGATAGTAATAGTTTTTAATGCATGTGCGGTGTAAGGAGCTTGATGTAGTTTAGTGTAGTTTTGTTATCGTTGCTACCTAAGTTAAAAATAATGTTTATTGCATGAATATTACTAATTGGTATTAATTATTATTGCTGTTTGGAGTTCATTCATATGAAATATTTTGGTCATGAAAGTGGTTATTTTCTGAAACATTAAATTAAAATTATGGTTATGTTGCAGGAGAAGACATCAGTGCTGGTTTTGATTCAGGACATGGAAGTAGTCTAGATCGTAACTACAACAATCCGATGCATGTAGGAAGCAGTAGTCAGTATTATCATAATATTTCACCTGCAAGAGGAGGCTTGAGAGATGGTTTTCATAACCATAACCACCATGGTCATCACAACCATGAACCAAGTGGATTAGACCTGACGAACAGAGAACAAAGAGGGTCTGCATTTGAGCTATATAAAAAGCCAACTGATATGCGTGGTAATACTATGCAGCAGTATCTGGAGAATAATCTCAGATGAGAAACACAGGAACATTTACGTGTGAATTTCGAACAAAAGCTGTGAAAAGTTTGTCATTGAAGACTGAAAATGGTTTTGTAAACCTCACCAAAAAGCATTGTATTCTGTCTCCAATACTACTTTTCACTTGAGAGTTCATAGAAACAACTGACACTGACTTCACTGTTCTTCAAAGTTATACGTCCCTACTAAGTCGTTTTCAAATATTTACATGAGCATTTTATTGTTAAAATTATTGCATTTGAAGATAGATTTTTATTTAAAAGTATTATTATTATTATTATATTAATTATAGAAGCAATATATAAGAGAGGGGGAAAATTGTAAAATCCTGAAATTCTGTACCATTGTAGTTGGTCAAGAGTATCACTGATTTACTATATTTCTAGAAATTTAGATTTAAAAAATTTGCAGTGTTTTTGTCTGCATTGAAATTTAGATTTCTGTTTTTGGTTTTTTGTAGTTTTCCAGGCTGTTATTAACTTATTATGTACTGTGCTTCAGTCTTTGTATGTAGGATGCCGTCTCCATTATTATAAAACTACACATTTGAATTCACTTGGATCTCTAGGTATTTATTATGGAAAGTAAGATAAATGGATAGAAATCAAGGCTTGAATTCACCCAAAGTATTCAAGAATTTAAATAATTAATTTTTAATGTAAAAAAATGACTATTCTACAGTACAAATGACTTATACAATATTAATCATGGAAATTATTATAAATATTAGTTTATACCTCTCTTATGAGGAAATTATCATACAGAAGAAAATGCTATTACATAATGTTCAAGTATCCTTTTTTTTATTCTTTTCATCAATCCTTTTTTTAAATTTTCATTTTCTCTTTTATTAAATTTTCAAATCAGCTTAAGTTTTTTGGTTGGTTTTTAAATGGAAATAAAATAATTTTTTCCAGTTATCTACATACTTGTTAAGCATTTCTTCAGTTTTCAGGCAATTAATGTGTGCACAAGATATTCATCATAAAAGTAGCTTATTTATACCATTAAGAGAAAGCTAATGTAATGATAATGAGCAAGTGTCAGTCGTATCACTTCTCCTGGCAGTGCTAACATTTCAGATTTAAACCACAAAGCAATAAAAATATTTAGATTTTAATTACTCAATAGGTGTTGATGCATAAAAAAATGCATTAAAACTCACGAACGTTAAAAATATCCCCGACTATCTTTACTCAAATGTGAATTTATTTTTGTCAATTTGGAAATGGAGGAGACAAGATTAATTGTGATGAAGTTTATAAAATGGTAGGTTATTTAGAAAATAAGTTTTGTTGATATTGTTTTACAACAGTTTTTTTATATTTTACCATCATAGTCAATTATCTACATTCATAGTTACTTATTGACTAGTTCTGGACTATATGTTAGTAGCAATTGTAAACCTTTTCTCCCTCTCAAGTGAAAATGAGGAGACAGATTAATTAGGATAATGGACAAGCTGCCATATGTTCGTCACACATCCTGTGCCATTATTGTATTATTTTGTGAAAATTAATGTATCTTGTATATATTGTACGAAGGGGAATGTTAATGAATTGAATGTTTTAAATAAATTATTGTAGCTTGTAAGATAATTTATCATGTATGTACCACTTTCATTTGGTGTTTAGCTCCCTTTGAAAATTATTTGACTTATTTTCTATTTAATTGTGGTAAGTTAAATTTAATCTGCACATTTCTCATAATTATTATGTCAAACATGGTAATAAAAGTAAATTTTGTCATGTGTGTCATTGTAACTGAGACTGTGTGAAAAATGATTTTTTTTTCTTTCTTTTTTTTTCTTTCATTACAATTACTTGTGTAAAACAAAAATATTGCTGACTTTCCTTTTTTCCAAATGAGTTCACAATTTTATTTACATGGTCCAAAAAATAAAATTCCTAAGATCAATTCTTCACTATTGCTGCCCTCAAAATTCTTTACCCATTATGTTAATTAACTCTTCATGAAAGAAAATAATGTGAGAACAAGATTCTGTAACTTGGCGATTAGTATCTTGCTCTTCAATCAATAGTAATTACCAACTATAACAATGTTCATGTATATTTATACATTATTTTCCAAGAACAGAAATAAATCTTCAAAGTTAGTGTTACTTAAGGCTATAGAGATCAACAGCAAAAAATGATATTTTTTTCTATTGTAGCATTTTCTTAAAAATCAACTTCCTTTATTGGATTAAAATGATTTTTGGAATATAAGAAAGATATATTGGATCACATAATTAGCTTTATATATACATATAAAGTTAATTATCTCAGTCTCTCCCCAATATTATTTTATGACACAACCCCCTCCCAATAAATCTTGATTTGTGAATTGACCAAAGTGAGCTCATATTTCCAAATTTAGAACTGGCTAGATTTTTTTCCCCTTTCAAAACTTGATGTAAGGATTCTAGTATTTTAATAATTGTGTGCATTATATAATGTGATACATTATGTAGTATTTCTATGTGTGAATTCACAACAAAGATATAAATCTTATAAGGTTTGAATTCAAGAAGCATTTGCTTTATAACATGGAATAAAAGAATATTTCATTAACTTGCATGATATATTATTGTTTAAGCTACTAAGCCAGTGGATAAAAATGCGGAACAATTTCAAGAAAGTGATAGCAAGTATACAATAAAGTGAGTGCTTTGCTGTCACTTGCGTTTATAAGAGCAGCATTGTGTGTTAACCTTGAAGACTTATTATTGTAGTGGTGCCAGTAATTCTTTTTAGAAAATACAAAACATCATAAGATAGATTTTTGGAGTCAGTAAGTCAGCTGTGAATTTATTCATACCAAAGAATATTTCATTAAAGTAATACTGAAACTTATCTGATTTGAGAGTAAACGGTGTTCATTTTAACATAATATGAGGATATTATTGAAACAACTTTATTATGTTGACAGTAAAGGTATATTTGTGATTGGTCAAGTCTTTGCAAGGTTGTTTTGAGTGCCTTAAAAGTCTTTAGACTATTCATTTTGTGACAAGAAAGGAAGACTTGAGAAATTAATAACCATATATTTTTGTCATTGATAAGTCACATGCATTTAATATTGTAGTTGCAGAATCTCCTTCAACATTCCTTGTGATCTGGTAAATAACTATCAGAAGCAGATCTTTGATGAATACATGAATTATCAAAATTTTTGAAACTCAATCTGAATTATATAAATTTTCTTTATCTTGTAAGAAGACTGTTGTCAAATGTGCTATTTTAAACATCTGTTGAAATGTATTCATGAATGTACCTGAGTTGCCTTGAGAGATTTCATGTTAATGTCTGCTGTGTATAAACTACAGTTTTGCGAGCATAGATTTGTTGACTGTGAGATAGAACTGTTTACTTGCTTCACAGTTTTCTGTGACTTTGAAAGTACTGCTCTAGTTACTGGACCCCAGTATTTGTGAATAGCTGGTTATGTAATCTAGTGTTTGTAAAGGAAATATAATGAAAGTTGGTCTTTGGCTCTTATTGTCTAATGGGTTGTTATTATTATGTGACATTATAATGTATAAAATATTGAAGTAACTTCAATAATTTGTATATTGAATTTTTAAATGCATATATAAAATCTTACATATGATAAAAGATTTTAATGTTATCTTCGTATAATTCCTTTCATTTTTCAACTTCTAACAAATATTACAGCTAAATAGTATTGGAAATTATTGTGTTCATGTATAATCCTCATGTTTATATTAACTGATTGTTGTAAATCAATAAAATTAATAAACTTTTATTAAAATTGGATTTTTAGACTTCTGTTGTACAAAAAAGAAAATTACTTTATTGACACAATTTTCATATTAAATTACAAATTTCAAACTAGTATGGCAAATGACATTAAATTGCGTAATTCATTACACGAATACCAAGTATTTTGCTTCTGTTCATTGATTTTAGGATTTGTGCAATGAACGTACACTGAAACAAACCCAGGGATTAGTTTATTCAGAATGTCGGTATATTGCATTCTGAATTAATTAAATAATTTCAGATTGATTTTTATCACATAAATTTGATTTCTTCTATTTATTTTTATTTTAATTAGTATTTCTCCTACTGCACTAATAGTTATTATTCTTCCTAGGACGAACTATGGAAATGTTTTTTACTTAAAAATAATATAATTATAGCAGGCGTTGTACATATCACTTTCCTATGTACAACATGTAAAAATTATGTAAATTTCAAATGTTGTAAGAAACATTTAATGATAGAATTCTAAAACGTTAAATTAAATTTGGAGTAGTCTTAATATCAGGAAGCAACGGTAATGTACAAATAGCAATGTTAGTATTTATCTCTGTAGACATATTATAGGCTGCTTAAAATGAATATGAAACACAAAGTATTATTTGTATTTTCTTCCAAATTATTAATAACCTTTTGTCTTCCACAACTATTATCCACAGTTCATCCACAACTATAATCATCAATTGTCCTCATTTCTATTAGATTAATTTAATGAGTTATTAAATTATTCTTGTGTTGATATTTGTTGCAATTCAAAATGTGTATTTCATTGATTCAGAAATTTATACAATACCAAAGGTTTTCCTGAAATAGGAAGATATTTATATGGTAGTCTGAAGTATTCTGTTTTGCAATTTTTCAACCTATCTAGTGGGGGCGATTAATTGAATAAGTTGGAAAAATTTGGTAACATACACACACACAATGAAAGAAATATGATCTGCTTCTCACGATTTCAAACACACATAAATAAATAAATAAATATTTATATACACACGCACGCGCGAATGTGAGCGTAATACATTCGTCCCACACATGTTACGTGTGAGATGAGATTGAGACAAGTACTAGAAAAATACCACTAATTTTCGCGAACGTTTGTCCAACTAGAGTGATTACGTCTGTGACTAAAATCATCAGCTGTGATTCAACATTCTGTATCCACGCGCGCTTGCGATCATACGCGATAGTGCACGAATGACAGCGAACAGCGATTTTGGCTGAACCCCCACCCAAATGTATAGTGTTGAATGAAAATGGCGGTGCAAGATGGAGGGGGGAAAGATGAGTTAAAAACACAGTTTATAACGAGAGAAGGAACTTATAGACTAATGACTCTTTCCGAATATTCGCGGCCCAATAGGGTCGGTTATACAAACACTCAAGGTAGTGCGGCTGTTCGTGTGTCTTTCGTTACGTTACCAGATCCCAGCGGCAATGGTGATAGAATCTGTTTCAATTTTGGTAGAGAACTGTATGTTTATGTTTATAAAGGTGTTAAGAAGGTAAGGAAGAATCAAATATGTGCTTCGCATTGTCATTTTCTGGCACTTGAGTTCAGTTTTAATAATTGTTGAGTAGTTATAGTTGTACACTCTAACCTAACTTCATAACATACTTCTCTAGAGAGACCTTGTGTGATAATTACAAGAGGTTCTTCATCGTATCTCGTGTTGAAGTGTGTTCCTGGCCGGTTTTCCAACTCTCATATGACAATTTTTTGGAGGTCTGTTAATGTGTACTAATCATCCTAATGCAGCATATTTCAGTGTGTGTTGTGTGTGCTGCAACTCTCATGTGTAATGCAGTGACAAGATGAAGTGGTTTTGACAGTGCATGTTTTTGTGTTTGTGTGGAATGCAAGTGCTTGTGAGTTTGTGGGGGGAAGGGTGATCTATAATTTCATACTTGTATAATGTTGTGGGTTGAACTCTATTGCAGTTGTACTTTCACTAGACATATTGAATGGTTTTCTGTTTATATGACACATTTCAATTGATCTTACAAATGTGCAGTAAATGTGTAAAATTCCCCCTTGAACACATTTTCTGCTAATGATCAAAACAGCTGTAGCTGCTTGCCGTTTGTAAAGTGTAAAGCTATTTCATATACGTTGTATATTCCCAGTAACATAAATTCATTCTTTCTTTAATTTCAACTTATAGTTATTTTTAGTGTTATATATAACTGATGTCACTTTAAATTTACTACATTGACGATGAATGCCATATTTATTTGAAGTTAATCTTACATTCAATACTTGCTAGGTTAAGTGTCAATTCCAGCTCTTGTGTCAGATTATTAATGTGAATGCAAGTAAGTTATTTATTTAATTTTAAATATCCGATTTTGATTAAGATGTTGTGTCAAAATGGGTTTTATAGTAATTACAATTCTTAAAAGGGTGGGAGTTGCAGAGTGATCAATGTTCATTTGTAAATAATGATGTCTTATAACAAGTATCATTACTGCTTATTATGAGTAATTCATTGTCCTTTTGCATGTTTAAAAAATATAAATTATGTATATAGCTGTTGTAGCAAGTAGGTGAATGAGACATGATTATCGCTTAAATGCGACTGTTGCATAATTTTTTCATGCCTATGTGTAATGCTTTCAAAGTGTGTGACTTATGTTTTACACAAATAATTAATTGAAAGTTTGAAAGAAACGTTATCTCCAGGTATTCAAAGGTGTTGAATGTGGTTGTATTATAATTCATTTCTTTATTATTTTAAATATTTTTACTGGGTGTGGTTAGAAAAGGCAAAGCTTAGATAATTTTCAATATCTTGATCCTTCATTTTTGAATAAAGAGAGATATTGTAATAATCCTTTTACATAAACAGTGTATTTTGAAATAAAATGTAACCGGTGATTAAGAATTATTTAATTTGTTGCTTTACTAATCTAATTGCTAATAAGATTACAGATTTCAAGGAGGGAGGAATTCAAAATGTTTATTTTAAAATTTCTTAAAAGTTGTAAACAGCATTAATGGGTTTACTGCTGTTTTAATCCAATTACATTCATTATTTTTGAAAATGTACTTTCAGTTATTACTTTTTTACATTTTGTGTCATAAATTAAGGAACAATTGATTCAAAGTGATATATTTTTTCAGGCAGCTGATCTTACCAAACCTGTTGATAAAAAGATGTACAAAGGAACGAATCCAACTTGCCATGATTTCAACATGGTTACCATGACACCTGACAGTGTCTCTCTTGTCGTTGGATTTTCAACGGGGCAAATTCAACTCATTGACCCAATTAAAAAGGAATTAAGTAAATTATATAATGAGGAGGTACGAAAATATTTCTTCACATTTCCTATTTGTTCCTATCATGTCTATTCCCATTTTATTTCATGTTCAATTTCTGTCAAAAATGTATCTTGAGTTAATTTTTGATGACCTTTCAGTTATTTAGGAGAGAGGCTCCATAATATATAAGCTGCTAAAATGATATGGAGAATTAAAAATTATCGTGGTGTATCAAAACGAATTAGTTTTAGTAGGGTGGTAAAGTTGCTATTTCAAGGATTTCTTTTAATAATGAGTTAACATGTATAATTGTTGAAAAAGTGGAATGAAGCAAAATTTTATATTTTATATACATTCCTGTTAAAAAATAGAAAAAAAAAATGTTTTTTGTTTTGTGGTACTTCATTTTTTATTTATTTACTTTATTTGAAAGGTCACATGTACATGATAACATGTAATGAAATATTTTCCTGGGTACTCTTGAATAGCATTTTTATGTGTGATTTTATATACATATACAGCTGGTAAATGTTTTTGGATTAAAATTTTGCATTTATCTCTTTTCATTGCTTGTGCATTGTAATATTGCTTGCTATTAAAGAACTTTGATACAAAATATTGCAAGTAATCCTTTAATAGCAAGTGTGTTATTGGTATTTGAAATATCAGTTACTTCTTAACATGACAGTAGTGTGTTAAATTAACATTAATATTTTTGTATTCACGTACCTTGCACTTAATATGTGTAAAAATGTGCTGTTAAAAAACGTTAACTTAATTTTTATATTTTGATGTGGCAGCTCTTAAAACTTTATTTGTTAAGTTTCTCTTGGAAATCCTTTGTTAACCTTCTGATCCCATCATGTTTTGTTATATTCCTTTCAAATAATTATTTTTTTCACACATACATTTAACATTATTATTACCCTTATACCTGTGTATATTTGTATACGGTGATGAATATTGATGTACAGACATTGCATGCTTAAAAAATACCCCCCCCCCCACACACACACACACACATATTAAACTAATATTTAAATTGCAATTATTGAAACATATTGCTCTATTCAATTGGAAACATTTGGAGGTTTAATTGATTAGTATGCAAATATTACTTTTGTCGTGATCTGAATGGATCTTGAAAGAATAGTGGACACCAACTTTTAATAGCAGTTTTAGTGGCTAGTTTTGAGAAGCATTTCATTTTATATGCTCATTTTCACTTCAACACTGGCTTTAAATTCCAAGGTCTTAATGTTGGTGGCATAGAATCCTATATTTAAAATGACATGCTGCACAATTTTCTGATTAAATATATACCCTAATATTGTGTCATCTACTCCCTTTGAGAACCAATGTCTTAACATGTTAAATGTATTTTGTGATGACATTTGTTCATTCTTTTGTATTTCTTCCCAGAGGTTAATCGACAAAACAAAAGTGACATGCATCAGATGGGTTCCTGGTTCAACAAACCTTTTCTTGGTGTCACATAGTAGTGGACAGTTGTACCTCTACAATGAGGAATTGCCTTGTGGTACTGCACCGCCTCACTATCAACCATTTAAACAAGGCGATGGGTTTGCCATTCACACGTGCAAGACAAAGAGCACTCGAAATCCTCTTTATCGATGGGTGATTGGATCAGAAGGTTGTTGCATAAATGAATTTGCGTTTTCACCTTGCGGAGTGCATCTCGCCATTGTTTCTCAGGATGGATTCTTGCGTGTGTTTCATTATGATACAATGGAATTATTAGGCTCAGCCAGAAGCTATTTTGGTGGCTTTTTGTGTGTTTGTTGGTCACCTGATGGGAGATATGTTGTTGTAGGCGGTGAGGATGATTTAGTTACTGTGTGGAGTTTTCAGGAGAGGAGAGTTGTGGCTCGAGGACAAGGCCATCGCAGCTGGGTTAGTGTTGTTGCTTTTGACCCATATACTACTTCATATAGTGAACCAGATAGCACAGTAGACTTCAGTGGAGGTTCTGATGATGAAGGCCAACCCCAAATTCAACATAATCATTCTACTAATCCCCTTCACAACTGCGCGAATGCCGGTGGTGATCGCAATTCAGTGTCAAGAAATCCTGCTCCAGGAACGGTAAATCAAGCCTCAAACAGAAACTCTTCAGGTTCAGAGTTCAATCGTATGACTGCAGCGACATGCTATCGGTTAGGTTCTGTTGGTCAAGATACACAGTTATGTCTCTGGGATATTACAGAAGACGTGTTGAAACAACCAATGTGCACAAAATTGAGGACTAGTGGCATAGGAGGTTCTGGATCGTTCAGTGTGAATGGAAGTGCTGCTGGAAATGCTTACCATATGAACTCCACTGGTTCTGGCTGTACATCGAGGTGTAATAATGTGCCAGCGTTCTTACAAACTAATGTTCCTAACAAGGACAAAGATTTTGTTGCTGATGGAAATGTGACAAATCTTCATGGATCAAACTTGCACAATAATTCTTCTTCAGGAAGCATAACCGGTCCATCACTCACTCAGAGGCTAGCAGGACTTGGATTTGGTGATCGAAAAGATGGAAGTGGTACTCACAAACGAAATTTTAGCTTGGCATCACGAGGGGGTAACGTGCCAAGTGACAAGAACAATTCGTCAGCCCCTTGTCGAAGTGGTGTGGCAGCTCGTAGTTCCTCAGACGATCCAATGAGACTCATTGGAACAGGAGCCTGTCCAAGATTTGATGAATGCCCAGTGCTTGAGCCCCTCATATGCAAGAAAATAGCTCATGAGCGCCTTACAGCCCTTGTTTTTCGAGAAGATTGCTTTGTTACGGCGTGTCAGGATGGTTATGTTTACACTTGGGCTAGGCCAGGCAAAATGGTATGCATTTCAAATATGTTTTTATAAATTACTTGACTAAATGTAATAAATGTATGATTGCTTTATTGCTGCATGCCGAACTTTTTAATATTATATCATCACATTACATATCCTTGTTTTTTGAATATTTTGTGTTCATTTGAAATACTTGCACAGACTTGGTTGTTGCTGAAATAATAATTTTTTGTGCATTTCTACAGGACTGATGCACAGTCTTCACTAGGGTTTGAAAGACTGTAGGCTACTATGGCCAGATTTTGATGCTGGTATTTTTGCTCAGGGCCTGGCATCCCATATCCCATCAAGTCCCACCACAGTGACTGCGGCAGCAGTAGGCAGCGGTGTTGGGCCTGGCGGGACAGTGGTATAGCAAGTCTCCCCCAGCCCCTGCGGCGCTGGGTTCTTCTTGTATAGTTTACAAATATATAAAGAGGCACTGATGTATGGGGCGAATGTAGCATTTCAAAACCTTGTGGCACGCCAGATAAACTTGTCTACATGACTGTTATTTTGTTTTTAGTTTTTATTGCAGTTGTGAGATAGTGAGATACAAACAATGGGCATGCATCACAACATTCACTTTTATCCTCTGCAGATTAACAACCTTATCCAAAGTGTATATTTTGCTGTTCAGGGGATTATCTTGGCTCTAGTGCAGAACAGAATTTTGTCATGCCTTTGCCTCCTCCATTTGCAGCACACACGCTGTGTTCTTGTGTATGATTTATATCTTGCACATGCTCATAGAGTATAGATTGTCTGTGTTATTTGGTAAAGAATTAGTAATTCAAAATAACTAAATGCATTAAAATTTAACTCATCTCCTGAAAATATTTGAAGTTTTTTTGCTATTCCCAATGAGCATTTGTTTTCTTTTGGAATTATCTGTTTGCTCTACAAATCCTGATATATATTCATTTAATGCCATTATGTTTTGTTTCTAGTTTTATGATTACTCAATTGTTACCTGAGAAAGGATTTGTACTTTAACATAAATTACACTACTTTAGACAGTCTGTATTCTGCTCCTGCTTAAGTGCTGTAATAGATTGTCCATGAACTTGTGCTTCTGATAACAAATCTTTTATAAAATTAGTACATGCAGTTAGTGATGTAAAGACTGGTTTTGATATGCGAATTGGAATCACGTCTCACTAGGACTCAGGTTTTAAATGAGAAGAAAGTGTAGTGAATATGAAGCCAAAGTTGAAGTCTGTCCAGTGATTAAAATACTATTTGTTCATTACTGTGTTTAAATTTAGTTGCCTTTAAAAGGTGTAAAGACTGTTCCTAACAGCAGTATGACAAAATGTCACTGTCTGTGTATGTTGCTGAATGTTTGAAGGCATTGGAACTTGACTAAGACTTCTCTTCAGTGTGCACAGTGCAGTCCCCTTCTCAAGTGATCCTATTTGTCCAAATAAATCTATAGAAGTTGCAATGAAACAGTGAATTCCAGTTATCAGGTTTTGGAAGAGAAGTGCACATTATGTAAATAGACAATAATACACCCTCACCTCTCTCAGCTATCTAGCAACGAGTACTAGTATCTCTAGGTATGCTGCCTGATTTTGCGTATTCATTTTCTCTCAACATGAGTAGGTTGTCAGTTATTGTAAACCTCGGAACTTGTTTCATTTTCTGAAGCTATGGTAGTTGGAATGGGAATTTACATTGGCAGTTTTGAAAGTGGTGATAATGACATTTTTGTATTTGTTTAGTTTTATTTAGAGATTTGCTATTGCAAAAGTACAGTGCATATGTAAGGAAGAGTGGTTGGGTGTTGGGCCTAATATGTTCCTGGCTGAAGGCACATAGTCCCTGTGGTACTTCTTGCTGTGCAATTACCACTTAGCCTTATGATAGTTATGAAGAATGTATGACTATATTTGCATTGTAAGAGGTGTGTTGTATTTTGATTTGCAGTTGAAGCATGGAGCATTCCATTACTGTACAGAGCAATGTCAGGTGCAGATGTCTCATTTGAGAACATCCAAAAATAATGTAAAGCATATAATGCAAAAAAATTTCATATGAATATGTTTGTTATGCTGCAGCTATGTTTCAAGTTTGCAACTAGAATACAGAATAGTAATCTCTAAACTTTTAATGGGTAATTGACATGATTATAGTATAATTCACAATTGAAATTAATAGTCGCAATATAAACTGCCCGTAATGTGCTAATAATGTACCTAATACATTGATGGTACTTAATATACCTGATACAAAATATCTGAAAGTGAGATGTGGACTGAACATAACATAGATTCTTTTCACTTGTAAAGTTGTGAATCTGTGACATGATTCTCTTTACTAAATTACAGGAAGTTTACCTGTAGGCAAATGCTTGGTAGCCTTATTGAGACTTTTTCCTATATCAAAGGGAAAAGAAGTTTAAAACATATATTTTGAAACGGTCTACCTCTTGAATGCTCATTATTATAGGGGGGTGGAGAAAGAAAGCAATTGAAATGCTTAAGTGACTGTCATTCAAATCATGTACATAAAACAATAAACTGTGGTGTTGAAGCTCAAGATAGGAGTTTGAAAAATGTGAAATCTGCAATTTGTTAATACTGTCATGAAGATGGTGCATTTTTGTTGGCCTTGATTTGTTGCATTATTCAAATTGGGGGGGGGGGGGTGAATGTTCATCTTGCTTGTTGTATTATATTTTTTTTACGAAGTTACAAATATGTTATGTTCTATCCATATTTTACTTCAGAATCTTTTGTCCCATTAAACCAGAATATTACTAGAATTATAAATCAAGCTCCTTTATCCAGCCTTCATTCAAACATTATTGATAAACAAAATTGATATACGAAAGTAACACTTGACTAAATAGGTATAGCAGTTGCTGTATGTGAATTGTTAGGAAAAGAAAACCATATTTGAAGGAAATTTGATTTTTCTACTTCAGGTTTCTGCTGCACATACAGTTTTACACTTGCATTTGAATATTGTGATACGGAGCCCTTCAAGTAACAATAGTTTGTATATCTCATAGTACCTTAAACTCAATTTGCTTATAATATATATATACATATATACTAAGTTTTTTAATTGACAATTGGATTGAAAAATATTGTATAATCACATGCATTTATTTGACATTCCATTTCTTCAATTTGATATTGATTTGCTTTTTTAGATTATTTCATTTCTCAAAACTTCAATGCTGGAATCCAGTTGTGTAGGTTTTGTAGGGACACGTGCTATACACTTTAAGCATAAGAGATTCACTTGCCTTTGAATTAAAAGGAAATGATACTTTTCAACCTTTGATTTGTTTAATTTTTAGTATCAAATATGTATGCTTAGGATTATATTCCAGTAATCAAAGGTAATTTTCAATAATTTATTGGGGAAAGATAGAGACTGCTTCTGTATAAATGAAGATCAAGAAATGTATCATATTAAATAACAAGAAACTTTTTTAAATTATGACTACATTAATGAATGACTACTAGTATATTCTGTAAGGGCATCAAGAAATATTTCTATTGCTGTTTTTATTTTTTGTTGAAAGTAGAAAATTTTATTAGTCGACTTGAAGTCAGGCATATTGTTTCTGTTTCAAGTGGCAATAATTATGAATTCAGTTTCATTGTGTATAAGTTGAAATACAATTTGTGTGTGAAATTGTGTTCTAGTCATGTTTGATTACATTGTATAATTAATCAATGGATTATTTAATCTCTGAACATATTAATGCATGTAATATTCTCAGGAGTATTATGTTTAGAATAATTGCAGCTGTTCAGTTTGAATCTGAGTTAACAAATTGTGTATTTTATTTTTAAACAACATGTAGTTCCAAAAACAATTCAAACAGTAATAATCTAATATGTATAAGTTGTAAATGGTAGTAATATTGCAGTTTTGCAGGCGGCAAAAAATATATACTTTGACAAAGTATGCATATTACATGTTATTGACAAATTCATTGGGTTTGTTAATTTTTATGTTTTTGAAACACTATGTGGTTTGATCTGTATTGCTGTGTATGGTTTTTTTAATAGTTTTTCACAACACAGATGTATTGCTCTATCCAGAGACAAAAATATGCTTCCTCAATTAATGTTTGGTTTGCATTTAATGAAAATTTTCGTGGTTTAAGCAGATCCTTCTTTAAAATGTCATAGTTTTAATGATATGGCCAGAACTGTGCAGCATGTCCCTTATAAAAGGACTGAAAAGGTCCTCACTTATCCAGTATGAAGGAATAGAAATTACACGTTACAATGAGCTCATGCTTTACTGCTTGTTCTTGTTATTAAATGTTATGATTTTAAACTCAAAACCTCATGGTATCTTTTGAAGGTAAAGTTTTAGCCAAGGTTAAACTTATATTGCTGAGATGTATGTATCTCTTTTGCTTCAGAAAATCCATTTTGAATTCTTATGCACAAAATTTCATTTGTCTTCATGTGTTGTGCACTACAAGCTTGGTGGTTGTGCTCCAATTTTACTCAATTCTCGTTTTCCTTATTTATGATGAAATTGTAAGCAATGCAAATTTTATTTGTGGTGCAATTACTTGTGTAAGGAAAGGAGTTGTTGAGTAAATGTTAGAATCACTGTTGGGGAAATACTTGCTCAAGGAAGTGAACATATTTTATGGGATTTTTCATTTACATGTTATTTATTCGTCTGGATGATTCTTTTTCTTGTTCTGTGGTATCTCATGTTTGTGTTGGAAAATGGTTGCATCGGCTATTGCTAGACTGTGTTCTTGTGGAAAGTTGATGGGAATATTGTGCAACAGGTGCATACTCGGGTTACAAGCAACGTAACTGGGTAAAAGCCTCTAAAAGTGCACGCTGAAGTTGTTTAGTGGGTAGGTAGTACCTGTGCTAGGATTAGACCAGGCTGTGAGAGGGATGAGATATAAAAGTTTTTAGTTCTTTTTCCCCCCAGTTTCAGAACATAGCATGAATGTATGATGATACAGACTGACCCATTTTCCCTCCAGCGTTTTTGACTGAGGTAGTATATGTGTTAACCAGGAACACATTGGTTTCTGCGTGACAATGGCTCCGCCAAGCAGTGCTCAGATCGAAAGTGGATGAAGTGTAGTGGGTTTGATGTGAAAAATGAACTTGTGGTATTTCTATTTTGGTACATTTGTTGTGTATTGATGCTGTATGAATTCTGAAATCGGTGATAAGTTTAGATCATTTATGTTTACGTAGATGTATAAAGTTGTGGCCACAGCCTCTTGAGAGGATTCTATCATTGCCATAGGTTGAAATATCTGTGATGGAAATATAAAGGGGGGGGGGGGTCAGTCTATTGTGAAAAAACAATGTATGTGTGCGAATTAATATTGTTATGTTTCAAATTTCACTTAATTTGCTCATTGTACACAATATATTTATTATATTGCATGGTTGTTTATTTGAAGTATCCAACATTGGTCAAATTTGTATTTATATTATTATTATTATTATTATTATTATTATTATTATTATTATTATTATTATTAGTACATATGTGGTATCAATTTTGTTTATTTGATGTCTTGAAATTAGTGCACTAATATTGTATCTATTGCTGTGTAGATATCCTGTACTTGTTTATACAGAATGTTTATTTTATGAAAATAGGGCTTATTGTAGATCATGCTAGCCAGTCTATCAATGCAAACTATCAGTGATTGAGTGATGTTAAAAGTGTGTGTAAATTCTTAATGTAATTAAATATTTTCAAAAGCCTCAGTCTGAAGCAATACTGTAAATTATACAAACTCAGCAAAGTATTTTGTGTAATTAGCAAGTTTCTTTTCTTGTAATTAAAAGTTTTAAGCATTGCAGATGTGTTTAGCCCACTATTATCTTTTTCTATGTATTATTTTTCAGTGCAATAATCAATTTTCTTTCCTCAAGTATATGTGACAATTATTGGTGGTATTCCCTATGAAAGCAGTGGTTCTTAAACTCCATAGCAAAAGGCTTGTGAACATTAATTTGAACAACATTGAAATTTCTCAAACATTTGCATATCATTGTGTATCATCCATTTTATTGTTGAATTTTGTAACATTGTTAACTTGGTGCTCAAATCTAAATGTTTTTAACTGAAGTGTTGACTTCATCAGACCACCTTTGAATCATAGTTTGATAACCACTGCCAGAAGCTACCTCAATGCCTAGCATTTACAACTAATTTTTTTTTAATCATAGTTCTACGAAGCAAACCATACATTTCAACTAATTCTTGCCTTACATTTATCATTTCCACTATTGGTCTTGTTGCAAGTAAGTACTTCAGAGTGAAATGAATATTTTAAGATACAGATTATGACATACTACAATTGATATGAAACTGGGAACTCGTTTAGAATGTATTATAAATAATGTATATTAGGTTCATTCTAATCCCAACTGTTCGGAGATTGTTTAAAAATGTATGCAAAAGTTCACAAAAGTATATCATTTGATTTACAAAATTTCTACTCTTTAATTTCAAAGAACTGCTGTGAAGACTAAACCTTCAAAATTACATTTACCTTGTTTCCTAACCTGTTCATTATTTCTTAATTCTCTACTTTTGTTTTGCCAGATTTATCTACATTTTAGAGGATCACCATTTTCATTACAAGTGAAAAGGTAGGGTTTTGCTTTTATCTAAGTGTGGTAACTTTAATTTGAAGCTGGTATATCATTCTTTCTTTACTCTGTGCACTATGGACTTCCTTGAATTATTTTTATCTAAGATGAAAAAGCTGAGGAAAGGAAGGTAATTGGGTAAAACAAGGGGCCATCTCAGCATTTGCTCAAGGATCAGGGAATCTGGATGAAAACCTGATCGAGATGGGAGTCATTCACCCAGAAGCTCAAGTACAATACTTTTTACAGGTTCTTTACAATTATAGAATCCAAATGGTAAATAATGCACTAAATGTCATTGTTAAAATTAATAGTACTTTCCTTTTAGATGCTTAGTATGGACTCTAATTGTGTAGAAACAGTTGTTCTTCGTTTTTTTTGTTTCTTCCGTTATTTTTAGACACCCATATGTAGCCCAGTGTAGCGCAAGTCAGTTTGGACTTCATTAAAAGTGATCCTTTGCACTGAGGCCCATGTTTTCTCCTGCGTTTGCAAGGTGGGCACTAGTCATTATGTGATAACGGGAGTGACATATAGATGTTCATAAGTTATTTTTCAACTACAGTTGTTAGTTGCAGAGGTGAACAGTCAGAGATATAAAAATGATTATGAAAATTTAACAGGTTTAAAGCCCATTCATAAGGTCGGATTCAAACCCAAGACCATTCAAACTGATGCAGTGGAGGCACTACTTAACAACCTTGGTTGTCTGGATCAGATTTTACTTTCTCATAAAAATTTCAACCCTTTTAATATTTTCCTTAGACTCATGATCTGGTAGATTTTTGTTCAAATATTTATCAGTTAAAATGTACTCCTTGTATAATTCAATGATTATGATATTATTTTTCAGTTTTTGCTGGACATAGTTTTTTGATACTTTGTTTCCAAAGTAAGTTAGTTTGGATCATTTCTTCCCTTGTCTTTATATTTCTGTTTGATTTTTTAATTGTTAGCTTATGTTCCGTTGCGGTGGCTACTGTCACTTTTCCATCTGTACATCCGTGTCTGTTTGTAAATCTTAGACTTTTCTCTTTCTTCCCATGTATATTTATGTTGTTTTTATATTTAAAATATGCATGTAACTTTTATTTTAAACTTTATATATAAAACAAAGTTTTAGTGTTGTGAAATTGTAAATGCACAAGACAATGGTTTTTTTTTCTTTTTCTGATGGACTTATTTTATCTAGTTTCATATGGGCTATTATTTTAGTTTCCTAACCATGTATTTTACTAATTTCCAATGCACACAGAAATTGAGAGAAAACTATCCTGCTTCCAGGTAATCTATTTTGTCCCGAGAAAAGTGCAAGAACAATAAAACAGTTTTGATACGTAACATATTTCGATATATTTGAGCAATAAAACACACTACGAATGTAATGAAAGTATTTACATTTACGTATACTGACAGGCTTCTGTTAGCTGCTGGCTGGTGTGGCGTATCATGTTACTGTTCCAAACCCTTCATCATATGAATATAAATTTGACAAAAGCTAAGCTAGACCTTTAAAAACTCATAAATGTAATTAATTTATTTTAACAATATTTTTATTCTCTTCTAGTTATGGTACAGTGTTCATATTCCAATTTTTTAAAGTCAGTATTTATTTTGGCTAGTATTTAAATTCATGTCTTAAATACACCTGCTATTTGTCATTATTTTATTAATATCATCATTGAATATCTTTAGGCCATTCCCCAATAGTGTAAGTTCCCAATGCTTTAGTTGCTAATTGGGTTACTGTGTATAACACTTGATGTTCTCCCATTCTTGATTTATGTTGTTACTTATTGGTTTCATTTGTACACTTTAGTTCAACGGATAATAGTACGGTCTCGTTCAGAAGTAAATGGACTTCAAAAGTTTTGGTAATTGTTCTTTTGTGTACGTTTTTGTTTGGTGGGTCCTTGATACCGGAAAATCGATTGCCGGCAAAACGTCCGTCTGTCAACGCTAGAGCCTAAATCCTTCAGCAGATTTTCCCCAAAATTTGATATTCCCTGATAAATCTAAACGAACTCGAGACTTTCAAATGGATATTTTGATTTTTTTAGGGTACTTTACATCAAGTCTCAAAAACATTTTCATTTTTTTCTCAAAAATGGCTCCATTTTTTAAAATTAAATACTCTCCTCAGATAGCGTAAAGTACGATTAAGAGAACGGTGTAAATCTCATGTTTGTTGAAATCCCAAATTTTTGGTAATTAAAAAAGTGCAATTTATTGGCGCATCTTCCTACAACGACAGTGTTGAAGATACGGATTTTTTAATTAACGAAATATTTGCTTTAAAAATCTTGAAATAAGGTCATGTTCAATATTTTGAAAATATGAATAGTTTTCGTGCAATGTGGCACGAAATAAAGGCAATTTTAATTTTTTCTCGAAAACCGCTCAATTTTTTTCCCCTCGAAACACTCAAAATAATGGCGCGGGTCTCATTTTCATTGAACTCTAAATTTCCGAAAATTGCAAATTCATAATTAATGCGAGAAAGTATGTGCTATTTTAACTCGACTAGTCTCCTTTTGTTTAGGAGTAGCAAAATCTATGATTATCTATGGCGTCCATTTCCATTAACAGTTCTTTCTCCGATGCAAATAAGTTTTCTATAACTCGGAAACGAAAATGACTATTTTTCAAATCTTGCTAATGTTACGATTTTAAAATTTATTTATTGATTATGTTAAACTTTTACTGACTCAACTATTTATAGTTAAAATGACGGGAAGGGATTCTGGAACTCGAGAAAACGTGCGCAGATAATCTTTTCCTCTGTACGTCACATACAGTTTTTCCTGTTTTTATGACTGAATAAATCTAAATCTTCTCTGTGCTTTCGCATTTTATTTTTATCCGAGAATTGCTAATGCGGGCATTGAAGTCTCTTGCTACTATTACATAATCATTTGGTTTTACAGCCTTTTCATTAATGTTTTATATACCTTATCGGGAAATGGCAGACAGAACAGGTCATATAAAATACAAGAACATTTAAGCAACTGGTGGAAAATAACCTCAATAATAATAATAATAACAGCGGGATTTCGGATGTTATATTGGACGGGCAAATTTGGGCGCTATTATAAACATGAAAATATTCATTTGTATTAATGCTTTAAGGTTACAATTATATACATTGTATTCAATTTTGTTAATTATTTAATTTATTATTGTATGTTATTTATTAGATTAATTGAACATCGAGGTGACGATTCGTATTGTTATTTTAACTGTCCCAACTATTAATTCAATGATTCAGTTTTTCAGCAAATCTATATCGAAAGTGATCACAAATATTTATACATAACTATTAAGATACGTATTTTAAAATCTACATTATTAAATTCTAATAATTAAAATGAAAATTCTGTTTTTGGCAAGATCGAAGGAATTTATAGTTTCATTTATGCCTACAGTCAATGATAAACAAGAAATACTCTTTTCTTTTTTAGAGTTAATTTGAGTGTTATAACTACGTCCCGGATGTTTATGACCTAAATATATTTGAAAGATGCAAGCATTTATGACCTAAAAATTATGAAAATATGACCTTAAATATCATCTTTTTGGGGGATGGGGTGATTTAAGCGAGATCTAGTATCCATATAGTACTTGAAAACAGAGACTTGGCGGATTTGACAGAGGCAACAACGCCTTCATTGAAACCTCATCGATATCTTTTTAATTGGGACAGTACTAGTTTGCAGCGTCAAGCCACTAGCCCCAAATACCATCAAATCAGCATCAGGATAATTTCCACGAATTTCTTCCGCAACTCGATTTAATGTGTGTTACATGTATCGTTTTAGGGTAGAGTAGCTGTAATCCTTGGCAGCTTTTACCATGTAAGGGGCTGCATCAGTGATTAGATGTAAAACATTTTCTCTCTTCACTTCAGTCCACAACAGATCTATTGCTAATGCAAGTTAACAGCAATTGTTGAGTGGCTAGTTCTGTCCAATATTTCACAGAGAATGAGAAAATTTATCTTCTGGTCCACCTCGCCTTAAAAAATCAAAAACAACGGTTGAATTCGATGTGAAAAATCTCTTTTAGACGTCTACAAGCAAGAATGCGAAAATTGAATCAAAATGATAAAAATAGTTTAACGAAAATTCATGAAAATATAGTATGAACTATAAATGAAAAGTGATAAAGGAGTTAAAAGCCAAAATCATTGTATCTGACACGTGAAAATTGCATTATTTTCAGTCATTGTAGATAAAACCATGCTTAACTTTTATTTTCCATGGAAATAACACAGAAAACTTGTGGTGCTAAAACAGCTAGTACTTTCCCGCCCCACTTTCATGCTAAATTACGCGAAAAGTACTCAGATTTTTGAAAAAATTGTGCATGACCTTTTTTCAAATTCTATCTTTAAGGAACAGATTTCACTCTTCTCTAGGAAAAAACTCTGGGAAAAATGTTTTCAGATAGGACAAATAATCTTCAACCCTGACGAAATAGCCAACGCATTAGGGACTCAATACTCCAGAGCCAGTAACACAAACAGCTTTCCTAAAGACTTTCTCGAGAAAAAGAAGAACAAGTACTTGACTTTACAACCGATACAGCTAAGCCATTTAAAGTTCTTTTCACATGGAGATAATTGCAAGACGCCATAAATGAAGCTGGAAACACTGCAGCAGGATCAGACAATACACCTTACAGCATACTACGTCGGTTACCGAAGGAAGTACTGTCCACCTTGCTAAACATATACAATAACATTTGGACACAAAGTAACTACCCCAAAGTCTGGAAAGAAGCGATAATAATTCCAATTTTAAAGGTAGGCAAGGATCCATTGAAATCTGAAAATTATCGCCCGGTATCGCTGACATGCTGTCTAGGAAAACTCTTGGAAAAAATGGTCAACACTCGGCTAACATGGTGTCTCGAAAGGAACATCCTCCTGAACATACATCATTGCGGATACAGATAACATCACTCGACAATCGACCAGTTAATATTTCTAGAAAACGCAATTGAGAATACCTTCATCGAAAGAAAACATGGTTTTCGTATGCTTTGACCTGGAAAAAGCTTTAGATAAGGCCTGGCTATATAATATTCTGAGACAGCTATACAACTGGCAAATAAGAGGAAATATACCAGAATTCATATCCAGCTTCCTTAGTACCAGATCTTTCAAAGTTCGCGTTGGGCAGTCTATCTCAGAAAGCCACGTACTAGAGAACGGTGTACCGCAAGGCTCTCCATGGAGTGGTACGCTATTTATCATAGCGATCAACGAGATGTTTGACGGCATAGAAGCGTCAATTGGAAAATGCATGTATGTAGATAACATTGCTATATTTTACTCAGCCAACTCACCGGGAATGATTAAATTCAAAATGCAAAATGCCGTCAATATATTAGTACAGAACGCGAAAAACATTTGTTTCTCATTTACAGTAGCCAAAACCAAATGCGTTCACTTCTGCACGAAACGAAAGGGCTACAGAGATCCCGAGCTGGCGCTGAATGGTGTTTAACTGACATACAATGAAACGGCAAAATTCCTTGGTTTGATTTTTGATAGACATTTAACATGGAAACAGCATCTAGAATATACCTTGCGTAGATGCAGAACAACTCGGAAGTAATAAGATGCATTTCCCAAATAAACTGGGGAGCAGAAAGAGAAATCTTACTCCGCCTGTACAAATCTATGGTGATGTCCAAAATAGATTATGGATGTGCAGGGTACTCCTCAACCATAAAATCAAGTTTAAGGAAACTAGATCCAGTTCACAATGCAGGCCTCCGATATGCATCTGGTGCGTTCCGCACTAGTCATTCCACAAGCCTCTACTGTGAAACCAGCACCATGTCGCTATACCACAGACAAACAATGCTACTTAACTATAGATCAAA